TTTATTGAAATTTGACTGACCATATAGAAGAAAAATTATTTAGTTAATTACGAATTATTGAGTATAAGTTAATTGGATTAACTTTTAATCTTAATTAAATTTTAAGTTAATATGAAAGTTATAAGTTATATTTTTAGTGGAAAAATTATTCAAAATCGGTGATTTTACTTAATTCCGTTGTCAAGTCAAAGCCCCCCAAAATTTAAAGTTGGGCCTAATGGTATGCTGCAAATGAAGTGTGATCAACCTGGGGAGGGATTGTCTTATATTACTTACACATATATTAAGGCTATTGGTGTGATCAACCTGGGAAGGGATTCTCATATTTTACTTACACATATATTAAGGCCATTATCTGAATTACATTTGGTTTATATTAGGTTGGAGATAAGATTCGCTCTATGATCATCGTCGACATTGAATTCTAGCGCTATCAATAACATACATATCACTATCACTTTCATTTTTAAAAGGTTGTATCTGGTTAAGAAATTCGTTACTAATATGTATTCAGATCCGTTTCGTATAATAAACTTCTTAGTATTGCAATTTACTGGAATAGTTACTATTAAAATATATTTAATATCAAGTTATTGAAATCTTTACTGTATTCTTTGTAAAAACAAAAATTTTACATGAATTCTGTTTATGATAAGAGCTTAAGACTATGAGTGGCTTGTGCAACTATAGATTTCTTGGGGTTTACAGTAGACCCTGAAATAGTTTCGCTATTACGTGGTAGCTGTTAAAAGTCGTAATACGATAGTATCTATGCTAGTAATGAAATTGACAGTGATTTTGATTTTGTAGTGAGCATTTGACGATAAGTGTGTACGCAGTTTTAAGTACTTTATTCAGTAACAGTGATTTATGTTTAGATAACTAAGCCGGGTAACATTGAAACTCAATGACTTATTGAATGTCAGTTTCACACTATTGCGAATCTTACCTTTTTTTACAGGTTTTGTTATAATTTTCAATATTGTTCTACAGAATTTGGAGTGCAATATCAATGTTACTTGTGATAATTGTGATAAGTAAGCGCCAATTTGTTGGAAGATCGACAAGGAATATAAAAATGAGAAGTAGGTATTACCAAATCTTTGTCTCAGTTGCATAAGAAAGTTCCAATAAGATACAAGTAGAATAATTTAGACTGGTGTATTTAAATTATCTCTAACAGCTGTTTTAGATAATTGTTTGTGTTTATCGTTTTAGTGTTTAAATATTTGATATAAAATAATTTCTCTTAAAATTTGTGTATCTATTTGTGTTTGTTAAAGTATTGCAAAATATTATCAGTACTTTTACTTTCCAAGAAGTAAGTTTTTTGTACTATGGTTTTGAAAAATGGGTCAACACCATAGTACTTCTTCTGTATAATTTCCGGCTTTTATGCATATATTTACTCATATATTTTCCCTCATAAAAGTCGGTTTAGTTATTTTATTTGTGAAAAGGTATTGGAAGGTATCGCTCTTGCACCTCTTGTACTGAAACAACCTCATACTTAATTCCAGCGAAACATCATAAAGAAATGTTAATAAAAAATCTATTTATAAGCTAATTAGAGAATAAAAACAAAACTACAAAACTCACAATAAAATTTATTAAAGCTTTTGTTTTTTTTATTATGCAAATAAATATCATAAAACATATTCAGATTTATTCAAAGCAACTTCAATATTTACATTAATTTTATGAATGAATTTAAATTACGAGGGTGTGTATGAGCAAATGATCGTCCGTCCGTCCACAGCACACACATACAAAGATATATGCACAGTTTCAAATGAAAAAAAGATACTTTTTATGAGATATGACAGGTTGACAATTTGGGGAGTGTTTAGTGTGTTAAAAGACTTCGTTTTGGTTTTGCCTGAAGTCCGTTGAAAATCACATAGCAAATACAGCGCCTGACAGAAATGGAGCAACAAGTTTAATTCACTTACAAATTACTTACCCGTACATGCAGCGTACGGCGTGTGTGCCCCTAAGTCGGTGAATTATTGGGCTTGTGTCTAGTAATAAATTACGACTTAAAGGTATTAACGTCGTTATGCTAAATTGTCACTAAATTATTAATTGAATTGATTGAAATGATATTAAATGCTTTAGGGTAGCAGCGCCAATTATTTTTAATTTCAGGGTTCTTGAAGTATGTTTCAATAATAATAATTTTAAAGAAGAGAAGATGTGATTACAGTATGTTAGAAGTTACTCATATCGAGTAAGCAAATTGTAAAGGCTAGTACTAGGACCAAATTTTATAAAACTTATGTAAATGGGTCTACCACACCGAAAAATTGGGTTTTTTCTTTAAATGTATAAGAGAAAGCAAAAAGGAAAAATAGTGAAAAAACAACTGAACAATTCCTTTACAAATTTCTAATTACAGTAACTCTTAGATATTCTACAAACAAACTAATGAGCCTTGGTGGATATATAAAATTCAGAGCTTCCAATGAATCTAAAAATTTAAAATCTTTCAACAAAATTTGGTTTTTGCGCTACTTGGACAGAAATAGAAGGACTGCCGCTACTTAAACCTACTAAATAGAAGTCGTTTCTTGGGAACCTAATTAAATAAAACAGATCCACACGTCTTATAGATCAGTAGTGTAGCCAGAAGTAGAAGGAGAAATTGTTTGAGACCAAAAACTCTTAAATATTAATACACTCAGAAAAATATGCTCTAACCATATACTACCTATATTGACTTGTACATTTTGTTAGAAAAATTTTTGATCATGTGGTAAAGAATATATGAAAACCAACATGTGATATGGTTGAACCAATATGATACGTCGAGAAAGAATATTTTGACCTGAGATTTAGTTATAATCTGTTTAAATTAAACAAATTATTATTCTGAGAGTATATGGAAAACATGAAGAATCTATTTAAAAATTATAGAAACAAAAAAAAAAATATATAGAAAACAATTATAATATTTTCCAATTAGATAACAGCATAATATTATTCAAAAGTGAAGCCATATATTTTTATTTTAATTTCATTATTTTTATTAAAAATACTTTACGGATATTTTTCATTAAAATATACTTGCTATTCACATAGTACCTTAATATGACGGTATGAGTAAGTATAAATATAAGTAAATATTATGTGGTTAATTGTATTATGCAAATTAGGCAAATATATGTTATTTCTATCTATATATGTACTACCATCTAACTTATTTAAGGTTTAAATCTCGAAAACCATCTATGGATTTGGATTCCTAATTAACGAAGAGTGGTACTTTAACTCTTGAAGATATAACCCAACTGAAAGCTTGATGTGATTTAAATACGCTACGCACATTAAGAAATAATGATCAAATGAGACTGAAAAGATATATAATGACTACTTATGGGTTTTCTTACAAACTGCCTGAGAAGATTTCTGATTTGATATCCTGATTATATACATTAGATTACTCAACATTTATTTATTTAGTGCTTCTATAGCTATTTCTTTGTAATTCTTTTCTGTGTGAAAAATAATTTACAAACAATAAAATATTTCAGTTTTGCTATGGAACCCTAATTCTTATATTATATGTGCATATTGAATGGTACCAAGTGATTAGACTCATTGATATCAAGAATGTGTTTTTAATATTTAATATTGTATTATTTAATAATTTTAATCCTGAATAATCGTAAGTACATGTAGAATTATAATTAAGTGTAATTCATACGCGTATGAGACCTACAGCTATTACTGAATAGGCTTATTTAAATTTATGCACTTCATTCATTACGAGTACGAGTACATTCAAAATTGTCTAATTATTTATATATTATTAATATATTACAAAATTTAACTCAACCAAAAATATGATTTTTTAATTGATCTTTTCGTATAAGAGAATAAATTTTAAAATTGCAGCGGAGTGTCCGGCTTACATTTCAACAAATTTAATTGATGTAGATTTATATGATATAGAACTATGACATGATAATATAATGATAATAATAATGATATATAGAAAAACAAAATGTTGTCGGTTTAAATAATAAGTCGAAGTAATTGAAAAAATAGTGAATAAAAAAAATTATAGTCCATTTTCTCCAAGTAGCACAGCCAAGATGAAGCGTATGAAGTCTTAAAGAAAAGTGTTTCACAAAATAGATAAGAAATACTATTTATGTAAGGGTCTAAGCGACAGAAGGGGAAATAAATTCTTCCACGAAGGTTAAAAATCTGTTAACCTTCTGTGTACTATAGCGATGGTATATAGACTATTTATATGCACTTCACTGAATACTGTAGAGGGAAGTAGAATTAACATTGAAATTACTAATATTAGAAGTGGGAAATTTTTCAGTTTAGTACTACCTTTCTAGTAGTAAATCATGTTCAAAACGTATTTTTCTCCTGAAGCCTTCTAATAAGGTTTTCAATAATAATGATATCTCGTCTAAATTATCATTAATAATACTTATATATTTTAGGTTTTAAAGTTCACAACAGACATAACATGACTAAATTTGTAAGTCACTACTTTACTTTACATTGATTAAGTTCTGGACATTGAAAAAAAACGTAAGCTGCACATTTTTAGAAGCTGTTTCAGCTCTCAATTTTACAAAATTTCAGAGATTAAATCTACTTTGTATTATTGGTGGTCATATGGATTTTAAACAGTTTAAAGAACTTACCCTTAATGTTACTATAGAAATCAATTAAAAGCTTTTTTTATTAAATATTTTGATTTTTAGTGTTGAAATCAAATCTTTAAACTAGTAAGGTTAGATAAGATTATATAGCATATAGCATGGATCTAAGCTCTCAGTTGACCGTAGCTCTGCGATCATATCATACATTTTCTGCTACAACTATTAATTGAACAGAAGATATGAAGGGCAATAAATGCCTTTCTCATATTCGACAGGGAAATTCAATTAGGTAATTATATTAATTAACAACTTAGTTAATTACTTAAAAATATAGAAGATATATGTATATATAAATGCTTGAAATATACTTACCATTCCAACTAACTTCCAATTTTCGTTGAAACACAAATATCTTTGCGTTTCTTTTGCGAACAGTGCTATTCTGAAATCGAAGTTCAAATAATCCGGGAAGCCTAATATAGTTATATTTTCTGAAAAAAAAAAAAATAAAAAATCATTAATAATAGTACAATACATTTATTTATTTGTATATAAAAATATTTTTCTGATATCCGAAACAATAGTCTTGTGAGCTTAAAACTTTATTCAACTAAATTGTGAGCAATTGTGGTCCAGTACGGTATTCTTGTTAACTTCTAATAAGTAAATCGCATGCGCCGCATGTGCCGATTGTGGTCACATGTGTCACCAAACACACGCAGTATTTTTTCCAGATTTTGTTGATATTTTCATGCATGTGCTGTGGACCAGCTGTGGACAGACTACGGGTTTCTTCTCAACTAATTTATGCACATGCGTAGCTAAAGCTCAAAACCGCATCATAACAAAGTTCGCATATGTCAAGTATCGGCAATATTTGTCTATTGATTTATTTGTATAGTTCTTGAGTCGGAAATGTCAATATTTGCTTTACATTTAACAAAATTATGCTCATTCGTGGATTTCTTGTTTATGTCCAAACAATAACAAATAAACAAAATAGCAACCTTTTAATAACAACGACAGAAAAGAAACTACTTTGGATTCCAACTTAGCATGCAGTCCAATCTACTAGTATATGGGATTCTATAATAAAATCTTTATAATATTTTAGGTGAAGGGAAAATTGACTGCAATTTTAGAAAATAAATGTATTAATCTTAAATTGAGTTAATAAAATACGAAAGTGAGTTTTCAATTATAAAGGCATTTATCGGGTAAAGTTTAAATATCAAATATAACGTATATATATCGGAAAATATAAAAAATAGCTAAAAACTCAAATTGTAATGAAACTATCTCTGTAAATGGTATCGAGAATTTCGCAAACGTTCTTTAAGTTTTTAATTAATATTATTCGTCTTTATTTTTTAAGATTAATAAATTATAAACACTGACTCTGAGCTTCAATTTTGGCAGGGTATGAGTTCATCCCATGGTGCTTGCAATCTCAAAAGAAAAATTATTTACTTTATTAAGTAAGAAAATATAAGAATAATTATTAAATATATGAAATAATTCCAAAACCATTGATGGTGGATATTTGCAAATATTCGAAACAGCTATATGGTTAGCCAAAAATTCAATTAAATTGAAATAATAAAAATTGTTGTTGTTGCAATTCATCACTGTTCGATAGAAACTTTTCTATTGAAAAAATAGTTTATACTATGAATTTAGTTTCTTCGTCAAAATGGACGTTGAAAATCAATTTAATTAATAAATTATGAAATATACGCGTGGTATTAGCAGAGGATCATGAAAGTCGATCGAATAGTTAATAATTAAACTCAAGTTGCAGCAGCTGGTATGATTAAATTTTTTTCTACTATATATATATGCACGATGCCTTCCATATATCAAACTAATTTGTTTTTATTTAATTAATTATTTGCATTTTAATGAAATGCTATTAACACCTTTAAGAATATTTCAGGTTCTTTAAGCAAAACAAGACTCTTTCTCTTCTCTCGACAGACGTTTAAGTGTCTGTAGTAATATTAAGGTATCTGTTTGAGTTAGTCGGATTTAAATTTTCATTTCAGAACTATCTAAGGTAAAAACTTAAAGGGCAGTCTATGTTTGTAAACAGCATCTTTGATAAAACTCTAAGTCCATCACTGAGATGCAAAAACGTGCGGTAGTAATAATAACTTTAGTAAACAAGAATAAAACTAACTTATGTACGTATGCATTGACTAACATAAACATAGCAACAAATAAACTGACAGACTGGCGATAATAAATAAAAAATATTAAATTCCCAATAAGAATCTATGAAATATGAGCTCACTGATTGCAGTGCACCAGCCATATACAAAAGTCACATTTTTTCTAAGAATTTCGCTGTGAACATAAATTTAATTACCAACACTCTTTACTACTGCCATTGCCAATTTCCATGCTTCCCTAACCCTGCTTGCTGCGGCCCTTCTAGGGAGTATCTAGTACCAAGGTATGCGTTTACTGGTACTTCGTCAACTGCAAATTATATTAGTATGATGAAGCTCAGTGCGCCACAGAAGAGGCTATGCTGTTGCAAGTGCCATGCAAGCGGTGAACTTACTTAGAGAACTCGGAATGTATGAAAGAAGGCAGGCAGGCAGGCAGACGAACGGACAAATAAATGGACAAATACAATACAGTAAATGCTGCTACACATAAACGTAAAGATATGCCATTGTATCTACTTGTATGTAGTTAAGCAGACTGACTGATTTTAGAATGTATGAGTGGACTGAACCTCGTCACCTATCAATCTATCTTGAGTGGTTTTCAAGTGCTTTACTTATTAGTACACTGTTTGGTAGGGTTATTCTTTTTTCTTTCTTATTGTTGTTGTTGCTTGGTGTCATATAAATATATTTGTAAGCATTTTTTTACAGATTGTTGTTGTTGTCGCTGTCATTTTTATTATTTGTAGTTGGCGTTGAACTGAAGTTCAATACCCTGAGCTAATATGAGGAAGCAACACATATGGATTGCATTCTTGCAATAGCCATGTGTGATATGTATATTGTGGGCATCTCCTTTGTTTTTGCCCCAGCAACATTCATTACCTGTACTCATTGTTAGATAATGTAGGGAGCAGAATTACAAGACAAAAACTGAGCAAATTGATGATAAGAAATCGTATTCAAAAGGGAGAAAGACTTTTCGATAAGATGTAATAATTTTTCATGCAATATCTAGAGCCTAAATATTCTACTGCTTAAACAAATTGCAATGCTAAATGTTTCAATATACAGCTCATATAAAAGTAGAGTAGGCAATCATTTCCTGTAATCAGGAAATTGTTTTTACGTATGTGTATACGTATGTCATCCCGTGGTATTAGATTAAGTTAGAGTGGCCAAGAAAGTCACATTTGAGTTCAAATAATGGTTCGTTGTGGTACCGCAGGAATAGCGTTCGTTCGTACATAGACTAAAAGGTCAACATACTACTAACGCCAAAAAGGCAACGACTTCTCTATTATGTAAAGGTGAACCAATCTGATAATTCTATGAATTACGTGAAGTCCCTAATTTTGCAAGTTGACTGAGCTGTTAGATCAATAAGAAAAGGGGCCCCGAAGATTATACATTTCTTAGCTAGAGACAGGCGCTGATACATGAGATGGCGTAGAGTTTGCTTCGCATCCTCATTCTTACACAGCCACGACAGACCCACTTTTATAGCATACCACCTCATTATGCAGTGGCCTCTCAGCACCGATAACGTAGTGCTGAGCAGTTTCCGCCTTAGTTGAAGTAGCTGACTGGTACGTTTTTTGTCTATTTTAGACCAAGTATGTTAAACCAAGAGATCTGATGACAGCAGGATTCTTCTGCCCAGTATTATGCTTAGGTAGGTAATTGAACAAATTATCAGTTTAACAGTTGTAAGTGTAAGTGAACTCCTATTCTGTCGTGAAAACCCCTATTCTATATAAAAAATTCTTTAAATTAAAATTCTCAACATAATATTATATATAATAACAAAATAGCATACGAACTCTCGTACAAATAAATAAACTAAACATTTGCTGTATATAAATTAATAAAAAAAATATTTTAAATATTTTTTAAAATTTATTAGAACTCAAATTAAGAAGAATTTATACTAAAAATCCAATCTTGCACGACTGACCCAAAAAAGCAAATGAACTCACCTTAATTTCTAATAGTTTCCGAAGCTGATAAATCTTACTTGAAACACCAAAAAAATTCCAAAGCACATTTAACGCTCTACACCCACTCAACCGCACTCTAATCAAGAGTAATAATTTTGAGCAAGAGCAACGGGCATCAAGCAACTGTCAGACATGTGTCATTGCTGCAGAAATGTCATGACTCAAGTAAT